ATCAAATTGTATATTAATAACTTCTAAATATCACTACGATTTCGATAACGTGTTAATTTTTGTTGTAATATTTTCCTTGTTCTCATTAGTGTCCTGTTACTACTGCATCGATCTGTACGGATTATTCTTAGACGAGAGCAGCGCGAATAGGAGTGGTAGGCTAAAATTTTGATTGCATCAACTGAAACATCGAGTTTTATATGTCTGAATTAGTTTTCAACACGAAAGACTGAAACAAAAATCAATGGCTTTATAGTAAAATGCTGTCGAATCAAAGTTTATACAATACAATAGTTATTGGGGAACAATAATGATCATACTGAATTGACAAAATGTTCGCTATATTATTCGACAAATTCAAATGCCACTCCTTTTCTGACACAATTACAGAACAGTTTGGCTGCAATTCATATAGGTACGAACGGTACTGAAACAATTAGTCATGCGCCAATCCGGAATGCAACTTCAATTGTTTTTAATTTATATTTTAGTACCTTTTTGTCTTTTCCGTACAGAACATCGAATGCATTAACCTTTTCACTATTAATGTCTTGTTGGTTGCTTAAAGCTTCTATGAATTTTTTTTTTTTGCTTAGTGTTTCCATAATCGGCTACTTATTGAATATTTGTTTCTTCCGTTTATTTACTTTGTATTTCTTCACAAAAAATCAGAATACATTCCAAATAAACTGCCATTCAAACTGGGTTAGTACACTCGGAATATCAATAAAGTCGATGTTCGCGAGTCTCTTGAATCTCCGGCTGCCCGTGACTCTTGCATGCTGCTATCAAATCATGTGATTCACACGATTGCAAGAACCCGCGCAAGGAGCATTGTATATTTACAAAAAATCTACACTGCATCCTTTGTTTTAAATATTCAAGTATTATTTGGTGTAAATATAATAAATATGTTTAAGGCCAGTTATTGTTTTTCAATATAAATTCTTATATATAATTTTCTGTGTGGTTTTAGTACTTAGTTTTTCTACTGTAACAAGAGTAACTTTCATTGTTTTGATTTTGTATGTTGTTGTGGTAGTAAATTTGCCATGTTAATAAACTGAGTATTTCGTTATTTCAAACACTCTACTAAGAACGCCCTAAGTTGGTAATGTATGTTGTCCATTGTAATAAATTGGTATTATACTTTTATTGTCCCTAATCCAATTTTATAAAAAAATAAGAAAAAATCCTAAAAAAAAATCAACGTACAAACTGTTTTTTTTTTCGTATTTCATATTATATGCTTAGTTCATTCATTGCTCTTACTCGTTAATTTTAGAATAATGTTAATGCGTGAGTGTTTGTTTATTGCTTCCAAAAACAGCAATCATTCACCGTTCTCTCCGTAATAGAAAGTCATTAAAGCCTTTAAACTTGCTATCTTACAAAACTAGCTCTTCCGAGTTTTGAAAAGGTCTTTGTGTTGCTATCTTAATCGTCTCTTTTACGTACGTGTGTCTGTTCTGTTCTTTGTATGTAAGGCAATTTGCAACCAATAGTAGTAATTTTCTTTGTGTGTGTATACTGGTATCAAGTAACGATAATAGGGTGTGTAATAGTATTAGTAGTAACTTTTAACCATTTCTGAGCTCAAAGATCATCTTGTGGTTCAATTTTATCCTCACGGGGTAAAAGCACCAAATATTGACGATCGATCTCATCCTGCCGTTCCATTTCTGCACGACCCCAAGCGACCTCAGCGGCAGCACCATGCTCAATCGCCGCGGCAGCTGCAGCCGCCGCCGCATCTTGACGCATCATCATCTCGACGCCATGGCAGTCATTGGCGCTTGCCAGATTGGATAAACTTCCAATTGAATTGGCTGTTTCGTAATGCCGGTCGTTGTAAAGCATTCCGCTAGTGATTGTGTGTGTAGTCGGTTGGTACAGACGATCGTGCATCATTGAAGGTGAATTGATTGATTGCTCGTATTGTCGATTATCTAAAATGTAGGAGCTGGTAATGGTGCTCACAGGATAGTAGTGACGCTCATCCCGGTACAAGGGTACCGGATTGGAGATGCTATTGTCGGTAGCCGCCACCAGTCCCGTCTCGTACATACGGGTGTCACGTGGCATCATTCCAGGGAACTCATACCGTTCATCCCTAGGCACTGGGATATACTCCGATTGGAAGGTATTGTCGCTGGTTATAACTGTCGTTGCAGCCGTTGCAGGAGCTACGGCCTGTATCGTAACAGGAACCGGAAGGGCCGGTGTGGGAGTAATCGACTGATAGTAACGTTCGTCATCGAACGTATCTGTTATAGTATGGTTGACGGTTCAGGTGTACACAAAAGAAAGAAAATCAAAGAGTCAGTAAGGGACCTCACCATGTCCCTCCCTCTAGTCTGAGTAAATGCTTGAGATGCATTGCACTTTACAACACGCTTACCAACCAAAGCAAAGAGCAGTAACACGACAGCAAGCTTGTATTTACTTTCTTAACCAGAAGAGATATGGACTTACAACTGACCAAGGATGTAGTCAACTCGCAGGGAACAACTCGTCGCTAATAGACACACTCTGGCAATCGGTTATATACGCTTTTTGGGCAATCATATACGCTTTTAGATTTGTTTCGAATTATTTTATTATGCATTGAAATGAATCAACGCTTACACATTGTATATCCATAACTTATAATTATATATGTACCTTCATCTTACCGCTCATATAACACACAAGACCTTACCAAGTACCCGCCATCGCTTCTCATATGGCTAAAAGGAGATCAATAGTTTAGTAATCAACATCTAAAAAATGCAATCGGTCAAAAAATCATAATGCTCAGAAAAACTAAAAACATCAATCCAATAAAGAAGAAAAATTAAAAACAAGTGCACACTTTTTATTACGAGGGATCAATTTTCACTAAGAAAGCCATAGATATAATTTGAGAGTAGTTGTAAGGAAATAAACTATATTAGGCACTTGTTACTGAAACAAGAAAAATGTACACCTTGAATTGTAGAATTGATGTTTTTAATTTGACCTCAATTTGCCATATCAATAAATGATTCGATTTTGTCAGCCTTCAATAATTTCACACAACCGTAATTCCAAATCTTTCTCATTCATCTTCAAAATGGGTGCAATAAGACGCCTGGAAAGCGCATAGCTGTCGTAGAACATTACACGGGAGTCGCTTTTTACGTGGTTTTTTTTTTTTACGCGGATTTTGGTTTTTTTTTACACGAATTTCAGAATTTATACACTAGAGTCGTTTTTTACGCGGTTTTTTACACGGTCTTTTTCTACGCGGTTTTTTTTACGCGGATTTCGGAATTTACGCGGTTTTTTTTACGCGGATTCCGAAATATACGCGTTTTTTTTTTTTACGCGGGACGTATCACCCGCGTAAAAAGCGACTCCAGTGTATTAAGATTTTCAAAAAGGAGGCTGACAAAATCGGGTCATTACTGTACTCGTATTTCAGTCCTTTCCGACATAATTAATGCGTTTAGTCATGTTGGAACCTATAACTAATTAATTAATTTAGCTTTATTTAGGAGGCTTTCAGCCTTAGGCTGGTTCGCCTCCAAACCTATAACTAGATACATATTACTTTTGGTAATTTCAATTGAAATTCTCATTTTCCACCGAACACATGTCGAGAGGACTGATATACGAGTAAGGACAGGGTATCATTATATATAAATGCAGGTTCTCAGAGAAGGAAAAAACATCGGTAATATAGTCGAAAAATGTCAGTTGACCAAGAACAAGAAACATACGCGAATGTTGTCTGATTAAAGCAAGATTCTTTGTGGGAGCATAAAATAAGCAAAACAGAAAAGCAACTTATATTTTCCATTTTCCAAAGCTGGAATAGGTTGAAGTCACGTTTCTTTTCTGTTAATCAAATAGTGGTTTACTTCGATGAGAAATTATAGGTACTAATACATTTTCTGCACATTCAAAACGGAAACCAAATATCGTGGTACTAAATGGTGGTGGTTGCGGGTGGTATTTGAGAAAAAATTAGTAATTTTTAAGTCTTTGAAATAACTTTTTTTTTCAATATGACGTCTACAAATTAAAACGAATAAATTGGAAATTAAATATTTAACGTTATTTTTAGTAATTGCAACAATTTTTCGACAACTGAGATAGGTTCACGCAATACAGTACCTTTCCCTTTGCCATACTTCGAGTTCGATTGGATGCATTTTCTCAGTAGTGTACTTACGATTACAGAAGTGAGCAATTTAATGACACTTTCTATGAAGAGCGTGGGTAATATCGCATGTCCTCAAAAAATGATGATTAGCGATTTTTCCGGCAAATCAAAATTTGCAAAAGCCATCTCTCTTTGTCTGCAGCAGATTTGTAGCGTGATGCTGTCTCCACTTTTCTTTCAATCACATGTACATGTATATGTAAGATGTTTAGACTTCCTTTGTTGTGCGGGATCAAGTGGAAAAATTCCAACTTTCAGCAACTATAAAAACATCACTGCCTTTGTAAAAAAAAATACACGGCACCTTCGGGTAGCGACTGTAGCGCGAAACGATCTGAATATTACCAGATCAGTTTACATCAGCAATGAAAAATGACCAAGTGTATTAAGTGATGATAACGATTCAAAGATCAAATAATAACCGCGAGATTTTGATTCCATTGGTGTTTCAGCATTGGCAACAGCTTGATTTTCGGATGTACATGTCATTCAATTGACTAATGTTACTTTTGACAGTTTTGCATGAACGACAACACTAAAATGAGTATTAAACAAAATACACAAGATTTTTTTTGTTATCGTGTGAGATTTAGCAGCACACTACGGTTCAATGTTTTTAAGACTAGTTAGAAACGAAGCCAGGACTGGCCCATTTCTTAATTTATCATTAGTATTATTTTTAATATTCCACTGAGGTTAAGAATTGGAGTGTGCTGCCAGTTCTACAACACGAAAAAGGTTAGCAAAGGACAAAGCTGTCAGATGCTGTTTAGTAATCGGAACTGATATATTCAAAATAACAAATTAGAAATTACGTTTTACTTCAGTGTTGCACATTTTATTTCAGTTTTACACTAAAATTAATTTATATGGGAGCTTACAGTTAAATGTTCACCGCACGGAAATGCAGTGAGATGTAGGTATTATTCAGCTAAGTGAATATATGGGTACGATCCCTAATCTTTTATTTGTTTATACCAGCGTTTTTATTCGCATCAAAGAGTACTGTTCACATTTCCAATTTTTACTGCAAGCTGCTCAAAACAACAATAAACTGCTGTTGTGTATGTGGTTACATTATGTTCACTTAATTTTCTTTATTTTTGAATGAAATTCAAACTTGCTCTTCCATTTGATTACTATCAAACTGTCGGTGTCTTTCTTTCCAATAACGAATGGAACAAAAAATACTTCACAGCTTACAAAAATTCCTAAGCTTCAGGTTAAAATAAAATAAATACTTCTGTGGGTGTCTAGGTTTCAAGAGACCTGACAAATTCTGTAATAATGTTACTTCTAGAACTAGCTGTTTGTTGAACATTTAATTTTACATACCATGAATCTTGTGTAAGATTTTGTAATTTGTGTCATTACTTCTATAGTAGTCAATTTGATTTAAAATGAACAGCAAAAAATTTGAATTTAATTTTCGATCGTCTCACTGTTAAATTTATTTCTGGTTTAAGAAACAGGTTCTGATAGACTTAAAATTACGTTACATTAGTTTGTTCTTCCTAATCCTAAAAGAGTGTGCTTCCCCGACAGTTTCGTCATCCCTGCTAACACTGGGACAAAGGGAAGCGAATGTGTTATATACAAGACGCAAATTTCTTGTAATAATTAACATTTCTGTGTTTAGCTGTTTAAAAACGACGGCTAAAAATGCTACCAGCGAGGCGGCTGCCAGTATTTGATTGCTGGGAATTGGAATTATTCCATTTGTTTCCACCGGCACTATTGCCGGAGTTGAAACCACCACCAGAATTGCCACCGAAGTTGCCACGGTTGGGATTCGAGTTAAATTCACCAAAAGACATACCGCCTCCCTGGTTGCCGCCACCGCCACCTTGATTGAAGGATTTGTTTTGACGGTTACCGAAACTGTTACCGCCCTGGTTGTTACCGGCAAAGTTGTTGTCATCGTCACCACCGAAACTATTGTTTTGGTTGCGGTTAAAATTACTCTTGAAATTGTTTCCACCAGGGTTATTGAAGCGATTGTTTCCACCGCCGCTAGTGTTGCCGCTGTTTCCGCTACCGAACGAGTTAAAGTTATCGTTCTGGTTGCGATTACCACCACGGGTGTTGCTACCGTTACCACCGAAGTTGTCATTCGAGAAATTATCAATGTTACGAGTGTTACCAAAGCTGTCGTTGCTAAAACTGTCATTGGAAAAATTGTTACGGTTATTGCCAAAGTTGTTTCCTCCGCCAAAGGAGTCATTATTATCGAAGTTGTTGCGGTTATTTTGGTTACGATTTTGGTTTTGGTTGCGATTCATATTGCCGCCACCAGCAGCAGCCTGGTTTCTATTTGGGTTCACGGTATTCAAGTTGATGTTAGGCTTGTTTGGCTGAGGGCGGTTAACATTACCCTGATTCTGGTTCGCATTACCAGCAGCACGGTTCTGATTCTGATTCGGGTTCGGCTGATTACTACGAATGTTCTGGCCACCACGGTTCTGATTTCCGGGGGCAGCTTGGAAGTTGTTACCAGCGGCGTCATTGTTGCCACCGAAATTGGTATTGTTGGCATTAGCATTGTTGCCACGGTTCTGGTTCATGTTTCTTCCTTGACCACGGAAGTTGCCACCTTGGTTATTGCGATTACGATTGCCGAAACCACCTTCGCCAAAGTTGTTTGAATTGGCAACTGGTGGATCGGGAGCATTGAACGAGCTCTGGTTAGAAGCCAGACTCTCGCCAACATTCTTACCAGACATGAACGCAAGGCGCAACAGATCTTGGATAGCTTGGGGATTGTTCATATTGTTATTGGGATTGAAGCCACCAGGGCCTTGATTAAAACCTGGAAAACGAGATGTCATTTCAATTATATTGCTTTAATTTGTTTTCGCTACTAAAGTTCAAGCTATTAGAAGAATCTCATATGAGATCAACTTCATAGTTTATAATTCGACATAGATAGCTGTAGAAAACTACGGAGGAAGAAATTCAACCCTCGCCGTCGCAGCTAATGTCGAGTGATTCAAAGTAACGATATCATTATAAACTTTGAAGTAATTGGAAGTTTGGTTCATACTGAACCATTGGTGAGAAAGTAGTTGAAGGGAATAGAGGATACTGGCAAGGAAATATGGGAAAGGTACTAGTAGTATACTATGGGAGACAATTGAAGCAATGTTGCTAGACAACTGTGTTCGGAGGGTTAACCAATGGATTCTAAAAAGACAAAGAAAACGAAAAGGCGAAAAAGTATCCGATATCTTACCAGGTCCATTCAATCGTGGGCGCTTGTTTGGAGGCAATGCAGTCTTCTTAAGCATGTCCGGATTCTTGGCGATAATCTTAGCAATGCCATTCAAAACACGGCTATCGTTCTCGTTGTAGAGGCGAGCGTTAATCGCGGTTTTAAGCAGTTCCATCTTACCCCTCGGTAGAGGATGATCATCATGTTCGATCTGCATCAACTTCTCGACATCGGCGGTATCGTTCAGCTCGATGTATGCGGCCAACCGCGACTTCTTGACGATACGATTGATCTTGCCAACGAATGGCTTGATCTTCTTGAACAATGCATCCTCAGACACTGTGAGTGAAGAGAAAAGCGTCATCATTAGTACTTATGAAATCAACATTAAACGGCTATGGTTTACTTACGGTATGGAATTTTAGTCATTTTAACAGTCTTCTTAACGTCAAGCGTTTGTTCTCCACGCAGTGGAAGCACGTGTAGACGGTGACCACCAAAGAACTTATGGTCGAGGAAGCGACAAGCGTTCTGGGCACTAGCCCGAGCCATATAGTAGATAATGAACGTCTTCACGGGGTGTGGAGCGCTAGCACGGTATGCCATGATTTGAGGGGAGAACATGAACTTGATTGGTCCATGCTGGGCGAAGTAACGCTTCAGTTCCAGAGGCGGGCAGTTCAACGGAACGTTGCCAACAAAGATAGGATGGTAAGCTTGCAGTTTCTTTAGCACATCCTGTTGCTCCTTGCTTCTTTCCTCTTGATCCTTGTCTTCTTCGCCAGTCTTCAACTTACGTTTGAGAGCGACCGGGCGGAGTACGATAGGACCATCGTATTTCTTCACGACAATTTCCTTGGTGGCATCCTTGTTCTCTTCAGTAGGAGCCGGGAAGGCGGTGCATGCAAGCGCCTTCTCAACGGAAGTAGCATTCTTGTAGCAAATGATGGCAGCATCATTACAGTTACGACGATTGACAAAATCGATTTCTCCAAACTGCTTGAAGTGGTCGTACACCTGCTCTTCCGTGATGGCCTTGTCCAACGAAGTGACATAGACCGATGTTTTGTAGTTGGGAATCAATGCAGATCCAAGATGCAGAGCATGAATGCGCTTGCCCTCGACCACACGGCCATTCAAGGCAGTAGCGGCCTTGGCAGCCTGCTCTTCAGTTTCGTAAAAGATACGGGCATAGTTGGAAGCATTCTGAGCATTTTGGGTTACATTGTTCGAAACAGCCTCGGTGATGCTGCCACCTTCAGCACACTGCTTCTTCATTTCCTCCTTATCTTCGATCCACTTGTTAGGGATGTTCAGCAGTTGTACACGATTGCGATTGCGGAAGAATAGCTTGGCCGCACGCCATATGTCCAGATGCTGATTCTGGTCACGCTGATTCAAGTCATGCGCATTGAAATCAGCGGCCTTCAACTTCTCAAGAATGGCGGGCTTGTCAGAATCCTTTTGCAAGGTTACATAACCCAACGGGTAGAAGATCAAAACAGAAGTTGGCTCGACTTCGGCAGCCTTCACCTTGTCCCACAATTGCTCTTCGGTCATGTTCTCGTCGTCAACAACGGTAACGATGACGTCACGCTTGATGTGACGGATGGTAATGAATTCCAGATGGATGCGGAGGCGACGATCGCGGAACATGGTGCCATCCTTTTCGGTGAGAGCCTTGGTGGCGGCTTCCTTATCCTTGAACAGGAGCAGTGCGATCGTATACTTGCGGTAATGATAAATATCTACCTTCTCAATTTCATGACCGCTGAACAAATCGCGCAGTTGCTGCTCAGTCACATCCGACGGTAAGTTACCGACATTGATCTTACGTTGATGCTCTGGAAAACGAGAAACATCCCAAATTAAAAAAAAAAAACACCGGATACTATTACGATTCTAGAAATAATTATATGCGTAGATTGCCATTCGGATTCGAACAAAATTAATTTGATTTTTTATAACACGCAATTATCGTTCGCCGCCATTTTGCTTTTGTTGTGCGTCATCCCATAACGGGATTCAAGATTAATGACCTGTTCGTGGCGTGCCTTGTCCACCAGTCTACCGCATATAGAAAATTTGTATAGCGTACACTATTTGGACAATATTTCGTAGCACTCAAGGGAAAAATGTAAAAAAAAAAAAAAAAAAATGAGCGACCTATTTAAAAAAAAAAATCACTATCAAAAGCGCAAAAAGAAATCCACACCAACACCCACTACATTATATACGAGTATTGGTGAAACTAGCACAACCGCCGCCGCCAACAGCATCGTCATCGATTTTCCGCCATTTTATTTGCACGGGAAGAAAGTAGCACTAGCGTTACGCTTTGGGGATAAGCCGCCATTGTTGGCTGACCGGTACCGTAATAGAAAATTCCCGAAAAAAAGGATTTCAGACTTACCAACATCGGCTTTCGGAGCATCAGACTCAGTTTCGGTTCCTCCGGTAGTTTGCTCTGTAAATAAGGATACAATAGCGTTAAAATTTGGAAGTTTGTAACTATTACCGGCCACATGGCGCCATAGTTAACACATACCTGCTTTCTTCTCGGTTTCAGTCATTTTGAGATTTTTAATACGTAAAACCACACAAATACGTTAATCTAATAATTTCAAGCACTGAAGATTCAAAATTCTGAGAATTTTGATATTTGGAACAATTTCTTTTTCTTCACTTAGTCGATCGGGCCGAGAGCAACACTCCGAAGATGTTCACAACGTGAAAAGATGGCGAACAATGACTCGGATTGAAGCAGCAGGCTTGGCTTTACTACGACGAGGTAGAAAATTAACGGGCGGCTAACGTTTGTACCTATCAGAATAGGGATAGGCGAAATATCAACTGTGGTTTTTGGGCGGCTGAATCATCAGGCGATAAATACACACGCTATTTCAAAACTACCCAAATTTGGTTAGAATCCACTCATCGATTAAAACTGATCCTACCCAAAATGGGCAAACATGTATTTACCCAAATCTAGGTAAACGTACCTGCGACAGAAACTGGGTAACGGTTACTCAGTTGATGAAATTTGAAACAGGGTAAACTTTACCTATTTTAAATAATAGATATAAGTTGAGATGACCGCTGCAGTAGCTCTATCAAACATAACCTCACCCGATTAGCTCCTTTTGATTGTTGAAGTCATTTTGTTGGAAAAATTTGTAACTACACTGATAAAACAGCAAAGATTTTATTTATGTGATTTCACACATAACTTCGACTAAACGCCCCACACATTAATTTTATAAACCACACATAAACGTCATGTGCTTAACATATACCATAGATGTGCAGCTCGAATGAGCGTCATGAGTAGCGGCATATAGCAAAAAATTATGATACACCCCTGTCTGTCTGACTGACCTCGAAAAAGATGAATTACAAAATGGAGACCGAAAGCAAGTGCCAGAAGAATTGGATCTACCCGACGAACTACTGCACGTTTTCGAAGGTAACTACATATGCAAAAAAAAACTAGAAAAAATAAAGTGTTATTATACATTTCATTTTTCAGGCGAAGAGTTTGAGATAACATCGATGATAAGCATTACCAAGGACGAGCTGACCAACATTCTGGAGGAGGCTGTCAGCAAAGAAAATCAGCGGTGGAAATCTCCCAGACCCCCCAATCACTGAATCGACACATTTTAATACGATTTCTGATCCTCGCGCCTTTACGAATTATTCCTCGACATCTGCACAGAAGACATCCAAAACTACACAACAAACAGAACCATCAACTACACATTTTCCATTAAAATCTTCGTCCTATTCTCCACGAAACGATATGACAAAGTCACTAACGAGAGTTTATGTTACACCAAATGATTCCAGCCCTAACGTATTAGTCGACATATTAACGCAGACTGTTCCGAATATTTAATAAATATGTAAATAAACAATACAAACCATAAACTGCCAAATACAAATCATTTGTCCCTAACCATAACCTCTATGTCTGATCACACATAAATTTTATCGAATAACGAATGGACGCCTTTATGTGACTCACAGATAAATTTCATTTGTGAAATCACATTGCAAAAATTTATGTGTGTGGCACATGAACGCAATATGCACAATTTTCTCAGTGTACGGAATACGACATTGAAATCCAGCATTTTACGAGCGCTTATGGCCGCCACAATCCGAGCCACAATCTGAATTAGTTTTTAGTAGGGAACATATGATTTGACGTTTGGGTTGTGTCGTTTGACGTGTAAACGTTCAAATTTGAACGTTTAAACGCAGACAAACAGATATAACACTCTCAAGTTGTTCATCGAATAAGCATTTAACGGTCAATTTAAAAGTATCGTAGTTGGTAGTACCGCCACCTGTGGCGCGCATAGTCATTTTCCTTGCGTTTGACGTTTACACACTACCGCCATCTATTCAGCGTACTACCCACCACAGTGTGCTAAACAGATGGCGCTAATGTTTCAGCGACGATGTTTTACAGTGAGAAATATTCAATCTGTTACACGCTAACTTCTGCTTACTCACCAGGTGAGTCGATCGTACTCACTTTCGTCCGATGTATCGAGTTGTCAAAAATTGAGTAAACTAGAAATGTCAAACTGAGTAAAAGCCACTCAGTCAGCAAAATCCTGGACTTGGAAAAAATGCCAGTCATGTCGGAGGGAAAATGTTACTCAAAACCGGCTGAAATGCCTTCAGGTAAGTACGAATTGCTTAGGGAAACGGTGTTGAACCGTGTTTTGCTCCGGTAGAATGAATCCGAAGCAGGCAATTTCCATTTTCTTGAATGAAAATCAAAACAAAAACCCTCCCCGCAACTGAAAATACCGGCGAGTGGATTTGACTCAGTCTACGTGAGAACGTAGTTTACTCAAAAGTGAGTCAACATAAGGCTACTCAATTTTGAGTAGCCATACTTGCCGCTGAGATGAGTACCTTCGACTCAATTTTGGGTTGACCAGAATAAGCGTGTATGTCTGTTTGCCTGTCGTTTAAACGTCAAACGACACAAGCCAAACTTCAAATCATATGTTCCCTACCAGAAACTCAGCCAGGGTTTTTGAATTGCGGATCGCCCAGTAAACATCACAGCAAAACAAATAATTACCGAACTGTCCGTAAAAGTCAATCTGTCAAAAAACTGTATATCCAGTAATTTATGCGAGTTGCCTTCGGTAATATTAACTGGAAAGCCCAGTAAATGTGATCGTTATTTTGTCACAATTAAACTGGCAAGTCAGTTATTTTGTGCATGATTTTACCGGGTAACCAAGTTATATTAAAAGCAAATATATCATATTAACAATATGATCCATTCATGCCTTTTCCAAATGTTGCACTTGCGACCCGTAAAATATTACTTCACGCACCATCTAGCGTTGAAAAAGGTCAGCAACAATTATTCAATTACAATCGAGGGGTGCGAATATAGCACTTATTACAAAAGTAAGAGTCAAATTATTTTCATTAATTACATTGTGTATATTATTTTAAAATTTGTCTGACATGTCACTGTTGTCATCAAATAAAATAAAATTCTGAAATACATTCATTTGAAATATTAAACAAATTTTCATTTCGTTTACCCCTCGTGACGATAAACAAATACATTGGTAGCCTTTCTGGCCACAGAGGTGCTTTCATCGCTAAAAATTCGGTTCGCCAGCTAAGCGAAAGAGTGGATCATATTGTTAATATAATATATTTGTTAAAAGCTTAATTATGTGAAAAATAAACATTGCATTCTAATAATAATTGGACGCACACAACTCATGTATTTCAATTTAGTTAGCAAATTTTGCATTACTTTTTCTCATATATATAGGGTTGCTGTTATCCATAAAATCAATGTTAACTATCACACTAATCCAGCATTTAGTTGTTCGGTATTTTTTTATGCTGGGCTTGCACCGTAAAACGACATTTTTACTGAAAATTCAGTTCAAATCTAGGAAATAACTGACAATCTGTAAAAACAAACTGAATTTCGGTAACGTTTGATAAAAAACACTGTACACAGAATATAAATTTACTGAGAAAATCGTTGATTCTCGAGGTAATTCTTAATTTTTCGAGATTTCACGAAAAGTCAGTAAAATTAAATACTGTGCACTAAGTAGTTCTTATTTTTTTACTGGCCAGTCAGCAAAATTATCAGTTTATTTTACCGACCAAGAATTGTAAAATTATAAGCTGTCAATTTTTTAACCGCCATTAGTTTGGCTCCAGAAAAATCCGGATGCAAGTTATCAAGTTCGACAATAATTCATTGGCTGAAATCGCAGAATGGATCCATGTACGTACGAGTATGAATAATTTGGCTTATGATTTGTGAATGTTTTCTTTTCGTTTAGATGAACAATCCAATACCAACATCAAAAGCCCAACATTTTTCGTCCGTGGAAAATTTCCAGAAGACATCACCGATGGAATTACCTCCTGGAAGAACGTGACTGTTCCTTGGCAAAGGAATGTTGCCATGATGTTGTGAATGTCTCTGTTTTCGATGTTGACTGCACCGAGCGGCCGAGCGACAAGCAATAATTATTCTTGTATTCCTTAAAACAGCTTTTATCGGGGTGCGGGAAACCAACTACGAGTTTCTCCGTAGACATGGTCTAAATTGTGGTTCCGGTGTCTGCTGTCACTGTCGAATACGAGCCAGAGTGCCAACATTGGACCTATTAGGAGCGTCAGAAGGAAATAGTTCTATTGTTGACTGGAGCAAGGTACCATTTGAAAAACTCACCGATGTCAACTGAGACAGCACCGTGTTACTCTGGGATCCAATCCGGAAATCGAATTCTGCACCTACAAAGGACATATCCCGCTAGCTGAACTCATGGATAACAACTCATAATCTGATGACGATATCCAGCCGATATGTATAAAACAATATTAAAATAAACACATTCTAAATGCATTTGCTTCTGCAAACTTTTTCAGAATCCTGAGCTTCAAAAAGATCAACAAAACTATGGAAACGATTCATCGCTATTGGGAATTCACCAGGCCAGTGACAAGGCCTATACCAAGGGCATCTTTAGCGGCGGTCCAATTGGCTGATTTGATCTAAATTTTTGGAACAGATCCAAACCGAGCTCTTGCACCGGTGGTCTACATTTTGACTAGTTCTAAAAAGTTTTTTTTTTTAAACCAGTATAATCATAGAGGTAACTCTAAGACCAGAAGGTCCCGAATAAACGTGCTCAACTTTTTGGCATAGCTCTGGTACTATCTTCGGTCCCAAGCTAATCGATGCACCCCTCGAAACATAGGAAAATCCACTAACCCCTAATTTTATCTGTCAAACTTTCATAGTGAATCAAAACAAACATAGTGTAGTACAAGAATTTTGACTAGAATGGGGTTTGTTAATCGATTTGCTTGGGACCAATAGGCTAGTCAAGAAGTGAGCCAATTTAAAATCGAATTGATTGTTGGTATAATTCTTGATCTAATTCGAACTGAATTTGGATCAATGCAAGCACTGTTCGAAACCAGTTTGACAGCTGTTCTACTCGAGGTTTTGTTTTGTTTTCTTTCGATATTGAGATTTCTTCTGCAAAACAAACCGATGTTTTCCTCGAGAGATTACAAACCCATCATGTGACACATCAAATCACATGAGAGTTCAAAAACAAAGTCAATGGTAATGAAATAATGTACCCCGGACCACCTTGGTTGCTTCAGGGCATGTTCTGGGAGCCCTAAGGATGTGGTCAGTTTCTGACTTGGTCCAAAACCCATCGCGTGACACATCAAATCACATGAGAATTCAAAAACAAGATAAAAAGTTACCAAATAAAGTACCCAGGATCACCTTGGCCACTTCAGGGCATGTTCCGGGAACCTCCAGGGAAGTGACCAGTTTCTGAATTGGTCCACAACCCATCACGCGACACATCAAATCACATATGAATTCAAAAACAAGATCAATTATAGTAAAAAATAGTGCCCAGAACAATGTAGGCCCATTCCGCGTATGTTCCGGGTACTTCCAGGGAAATGGCCAGTTTCTGATTTGATCCAAAACCCATCATGCAACACAGCAAATCACACTTGATTTCAAAAACAAGATCAATGGAAGTCAAATATAGTGCCCAGGACCACTTCACCCACTTTCGGGCATGTTTCAAGAACGCCGAGGGAAGTGGCCAATTTCTGACTTGGGTCAAAACCGAGGTCAAAACCCAACATATAGTACGACATCACACGAGAAAAATTTCGAAATAAAATTATTTTTATTTTTGTAAGAAGAGTCAGATCTCACCAAAGGTGGATAAATACAGATTTTTGTAATTATTTCACTTGGAAGCACTATAAAAAATAACGAGGTAATGGCGACCTGTTTGTATGAATAAATGTATCCTTCACTGTGCTTTTTGACACTACCTGGAGGGCGTATGTTGTTCCATTTTCTTCTGTTCCTGGGAGAGGGAAAGGGAAGGGCTTGAAATTCGAACATCCAGATAGTGTCAAAAAGCACAGTGAAGGATACATTTATTCATACAAACAGGCCGCCATTACCGAGCATGGAAAGCTGGATAGATACTAATAATTTATACTCATAATTTAAATTACCGTTTTCCACACCGGCAAAACAAACTTTTGGCGTTTATTCAAAATAGCAACCGTCTGATGCCTTGCTACCGGGTTGCTAAATTTATGAACTCACTACTTCCCAAGGTGCGGATTGCTATTTCCCCAACCTGAATAGAGTTCTCTACCACCGTTAGTATTAGTGATCAGTTTCACTAATACATGCATTTTACTGGTTGAAAATAGAAAACAAACCGCTGTCAAGTCGAACACTTTGACAGCTGATTTCGTGGTTGAAAATAATAAACAAATCGATTTTACACGGCTACACTAGCCAGGGGACCCAACGTTGAGTATAATCATATTTACCTACTGTTGGGTACAACTAACTTACTTTTGGTTAAAAAGCCAGTGGAAAATTCCATACGAACTGCGCACAAGTAAATGAAAATTACTTCGACCCGCTTTACCTATTACTTTAAGGTTCCTGCACTATAGTGCCGAGATGAGTCGAAATAACTTACTTTTGGGTACTTTTTTTTCTGACCGTGTAGTCATAGAATACAAAGTACAGGCATTTTAGAGGGAGATTGCGACTATAGCCATTAAATGTGTAAAAAAATTACCCATTTATGAGTATTTGTTACTCATAAATGAATACTTAATACTTATTGTTGTGGTTGTAATTACTCAGAAATGGGTAAAATTTTGCTCAGTTAATGGACAGTCTACACGCTCAAATTGAAAACTCCCCAAATTTGGGAAGAATCCACCCAGATCGGTCAAAACTGAACCTACCAAAAAATGGGTAAACTGTGTTGGGAGTTGACAAATGAACAACATTATCATGACTCCGATCGACGTTGTTCATTTGTCAAATTGTCACTTCCAACACAGTTTACCCATTTTTAGGTACACGGTGTTTCACGAAAACCCATTAATGGGTATAAAAATACCCATTTCCGCTAAAAGTGCCCCTCCTCATTTAATGGGTAAACTATGGTTTACTCATAAATGGGTTAATGGGTGGTCTGTCAATAAATGGGTGTTTTTTCACCCATTTTCTTATATTGTGTTTACCGTAAAATGGGTGAAAAAATACCCATTTTTACAAATGGAGGATGCAAGCGCTCGTTGATGTAAAAATGTTTTTAAAACATTGAAAATAAATGCAGGTGTTCCGCTCAAATTTTTCACAAAGCATTATAATACAAATTATCCATAGTATTGACTTATCCGTAAGCCTCTCCAACGTTTTGGATTCTAACATTTTCCGGAGATCGTTGCTGCGGACAGTAACTGTTTGCATCGAGGTTTGCATTCCCAATGAGCCGGTGACGGAAATGAGACGATACAATTTCGAAGTGTTTTTTCACCCATTAATGGGTAAAAAATATACCCATTATTCAACCGTGAACTGATTCTTTAAATGGGTATTTTTTCACCCATTTAATGATTTCAAAATTCCCCCATTTTTTGACAACTGCATACATGGTTTGAAAATGGGTATTTTTTTACCCATTAATGGGTTTTCACGAAACACCGTGTAGGTTCAGTTTTGACCTATCTGGGAGGATTTTACCCAAATTTGGGGAGTTTTGAAGTAGCGTGTAGTTTCTACCGAAAATGCATAAAAACTTTGCATTTATTATTGGGTATTTTGGGTATTCTGCGGTTACTGTGTAGAAAATCAGTTGTCAAATTCAAAACACGCGCGATTTACATTCGGATGACGATAAATAAAAAGAAAACTTATAAAACGCCGTGGAAACCGGAGTTTGTTTATCGGCAAAATAAAAGTCATTCCGCGAGAATATTGAGCTGTGAAGGCATACATATTGATACCGTCGGTTGTTACATTCAATAAATAATCCGTAGAAATGAAAATCGAGGAGGTGAAAAGCACCGTGAAAACGCAGCGGATTGCTGCTCACAGCCATGTCAAAGGGCTTGGGTTGGACGAGAACGGAATTCCTCTTCAGATAGCTGCCGGTTTGGTTGGTCAGAAGGATGCACGTGAGGTATGTATAAGTATACATTATTAGGTATTTTCTATTTCTTCACTATATAAATATTATTTTCTGATTCTATCAGGCGGCCGGCATCGTGGTGGATCTGATTAAATCGAAGAAAATGTCCGGAAGAGCGCTATTATTGGCAGGTCCGCCGGGGACCGGAAAGACGGCTATTGCACTAGCCATTGCTCAAGAATTGGGTAACAAAGTTCCATTTTGTCCAATGGTAGGTTCTGAAGTGTTCAGCAGCGAAATCAAGAAAACCGAAGTGTTGATGGAGAACTTCCGCCGCTCTATCGGCTTGCGCATTCGAGAAACGAAGGAAGTATACGAAGGAGAAGTTACCGAATTGACACCCGTTGAAACCGAAAACCCTATGGGAGGCTATGGGAAAACGATTAGTAACGTCGTAATTGGCTTAAAAACGGCTAAAGGTACCAAACAACTTAAACTAGATCCCAGCATCTACGAGTCATTACAGAAGGAGAAGGTAGAAGTGGGTGATGTTATCTACATTGAAGCAAATAGTGGTGCAGTCAAGAGACAGGGCAGAAGTGACACATTTGCTACTGAATTTGATCTTGAAACGGAAGAATATGTTCCACTTCCAAAAGGTGATGTTCACAAAAAGAAGGAGGTTGTCCAGGATGTTACGCTTCATGACTTGGATGTAGCTAATGCTCGGCCTCAAGGCGGTCAGGATGTCCTTTCAATGGTTGGTCAAATAATGAAGCCGAAAAAGACTGAAATTACAGACAAACTACGTATGGAGATCAATAAAGTTGTCAACAAGTACATTGACCAGGGGATCGCCGAGTTAGTTCCGGGTGTTTTGTTCATCGACGAAGTTCATATGCTTGATCTGGAGTGTTTCACCTATTTGCATAAATCGTTAGAATCAGCTATCGCACCGATTGTCATATTCGCAACAAACAGAGGACGCTGCGTGATTCGTGGAACTGATGACATTATTTCACCTCACGGGATTCCGCTTGATTTGCTGGATCGTCTCCTGATTGTTCGCACCGCCCCTTACAATCTATCCGAAATCGAGCAAATCGTCAGATTGCGAGCCCAGACAGAAGGTCTCAATGTGGAGGACACGGCCATTCAAGCATTAAGCGAAATTGGAGATAATACCACGTTGCGCTACGCTGTGCAGCTCTTAACGCCTGCTCATCAAAATTGTAAGGTAAATGGACGAACGCAAATAACCAAAGATGATATTATGGATGTCAAGTCGTTGTTTTTGGATGCTAAGCGTTCGGCTAAGTACTTGCAGGAGGAAAACACTAAATATATGATGTAAGGATTATTTGCGTCACATTAGTGGACGATATTCCCTATATAATTCATGAATAATAATACATACACTTGGATGAAACCAACGGATCATGTTTAACAGGATCAACCCGAAATATCCCTAATGAAATCCATGGCCATCATACATGGCTCAAGTGAGTTGATTCAACTTATCCCCGATCTGGTGGTCGGAATTCAGCGAAGTATTGAAGCGAACTACGTTATATGCAGAACTGTTCCACGGTTCCACAGGATTACTCAAAACGGAACAATTATGTGTATAACGGTAGTATACTACCCATAATCGCATATCAGTCCCATCTTTGCTTGATTTCATATCCATATGGGACTGATATGCGATTATGGGCAGTATATGTATACCCACTCAGCTGCGTTTCCCTAGTTCGGTAATTTATTACAGATTTTTCGGTTAACAAAATTAATTTTACCGAAACTCGGTTAAATTTTAACGAATGTACTGATTATTAAATTAACGAACAACGTATTACAAATTACAAACCCGTTAACCAAACTCCTGTAAATGAGTCTCAAGACCCATGCTCGCCGGAATATGTTCCGACCATAGCACAGTGATGCCAAGGGTATCAAAACACTTCTTCTTCTTCTTCTTCTTCTTCTTCTTCTTCTTCTTCGCATTTCAAGCTTATTGCATATCGCATATTAGCTTATTGCGTGCTCTCAACTTAGTGTTCTAGATGCACTTCCACAGTTATTAATTGAGAGCTTTCGATGCCTGTACCATTTTTGCATTGATATAATTGTGTGGCAAGTCCAATCATACTTCTATGCCCAGGGAAGTCGAGAAATTTTCCAACCCGAAAAATTCCTAGACCGCACCGGGAATTGAACCCAGCCACCTCCAGCATGGTCTTGCTTTGTAGCTGCGCCTTTACCGACTGAGCTAAGGGGTAAAGGGGGGTATCAAAACACGCGCTTTTTTATTCACGCTGAAATGGTTGATTAAAGGTACTAGGTGTTTTCTGAGAAGTTTCTCGGGTTACAACACTCCTTCTTATGGTAAAAGAAAATTGTTACGAATCAATCGAAACAATTTCCGCAAACTTAACTTTTATTGATGATGTTAAATTTTTCCTGTAAATGTTTGTACATAAATATTAGGTTAAGTTATAGTGATATTCTTAGGCAGTTAACTTCACTTACGTTTAGTGCTTTAAATTATCGTTCACGGTATCCGGATTTCGGTCCTCTACGGTATAAATTATTTCAGCAAAACTCAGTATCCTTTAGAAATTTAAGTACCTATTTAAAGTTAATTTAAGTATAGGATAATTCTTCTAGGTTTAACATATTTATGTTTAGGTTAAGTATTTTACCTCATAGAAATCAATGTTTAGCTATAGATGATTGTATTATATAAGTTTCGTCCGTATAAAAAACGTTCTAGAATGCACTAGAATTCAAATATTAGAATGGCATTTTAATTTTACTTTCTAAGTTTTTACCTGCAGTTTTAATTAATTAATAATCCAATGTTTAATCCTAGAAGGAATATTAATCTCACAACTTTATCTATTGTTTTGTGTTTATGTCCTATTGTATTGTATTGTTTTCGGCTGCTCGATGTAGGTTGCTCACGGAATGTCAATTGACTTCAATCCCTCCGATGGCCACGGGTGTGGCTGACGTTCGCATTGGCGGAGCATTATCGCCAAAGGGCGTAACACTCCCCCCCAGTACGCTGGATTCTGAATCCTGCTTACTATCGTTTGCTCCGACATCTAGAACCGCAATTTTCACCGCTGGCCGTTCGTAGATACCTTGGCTAGTCTGGACCGTGACGCTTCGTACCTGACCATCTCGGTTTCGTGTAGCGATGACTCTCCCTTTAGGCCACACATTTCGCGGTAGATCCGAATCTACGACCACGACAATGTCTCCCACCTGGATGGGCTTCGTAGGTTGGTGCCACTTCGTTCGGCGACAGATTGTTGGCAGGTATTCGCGAACCCATCGGGTCCAAAAGTGATTAGCATATACCTGCGAAGTCTTCCAATTGTTGCGTAACGTAGCAGCTGAATCGTCAAAGCATACCAATGGTTTACATCCATTTGTTGAACCAACGAGAAAATGATTCGGTGTTAGCGCTGGAGTAGTCTCATCCTCAACAGGGATGTACGTTAGCGGCCTAGAGTTGACGACGTTTTCAATTTCGACGAGTGTGTTTCGCAGAACTTCATCGGTAGGATGACGAGGTAGATTTAGTTGATTCAGGATCTTTTTAACAGATTGCACCATCCGCTCCCACGAACCGCCCATGTGAGGGGAGCTTGGTGGGTTGAATGACCATTTCAGCTCGGATGATACTATTTTCTTCAACAGTTTATCGTGATCGATCTTCTGGAAGGCTTCCTGCAGCTCACGATTAGCGCCGACGAAGTTAGTCCCTCTGTCGCTGAAGAGTTCCAGGGGTGTCCCACGTCTTGCCATGAAATTCCTTATGGCCATAATGCACTAGTCAGTATTGAGTGTATGTGCTATCTCAATGTGTATTGCACGAACTGTCATGCATGTGAGGAGCACTCCCCAACGTTTTTCGACGCGGCGGCCCACTACAACGGTCATAGGGCCGAAGTAATCCACTCCTGTGTATGAAAAGGGCCTGGAAAAGGCAGCTAGTCTAGCTGGCGGTAAATCGGCCATCATCGGAGGTTTGGGACGTGCTGTATTGTTCTTACAGACCTGACATTCGCTACGGATCTTGTAACACAACCTGCGTAGTTTGGGAATCCTGTACTTTTGGAGGAGCTCATTTACGACAGTCTCATGGTTCAGATGATGATACCGTTCATGAACTGAACGTACTACGAGCGCCGTAATGTGGTGGTCTCTTGGAAGCAGAATCGTATTCGAAGCATACGGTCCAGAATAAACACATTGTTGACCTCTTCCACGCATTCTCAATATACCATCCTCGTCCAGGTAAAGCGACAGACCCTTGATAGAACTGCTCTTTGGCAACTTGTACCTACCCAGGTTTGTAGACGATGCTTTGGTAACTATTGCTATCTCTTCGGCGTATGCTGCCACTTGTGCTTGCTTGTATATGTACCGTTCTGCTTCTTGTAGTTCTTCGTTTGTCAATACCCCAACTGTAGGTGAATTTCCATGTAATTTGGCCCAGATATTGCGTGGAAACCGTAGAACACACGTAATCAAGCGAAGGAGCCGGTTCCAGCTGTAGAAATCGTTGAAATTAACAGCTGCTTCTATGGAACGGTGAACACCGACTACACGCTTCAACTCTTCTGATGTGGTCCCATCACGTTGCCGCAAGACTGGTCATTCACTCCGAGGATTCCAGAGAAAAGAAGGGCCACGAAACCATCGGCTGCTGGGCGACAGATCAGGCTGCCTCTGCCACTTAGTTCCTTCGTCAGCCACGTTTAGTTTCGTTGATACCCATTGCCATTCAGACAACTCCGTGATTTCCAGTATCTCCCCAGCTCGGAATGCAACAAACTGGCTGTAACGGCGATGGTCAGAATCCAGCCAGCAGATAACATCCTTCGAATCCGTCCAGAAGAACCGTTCGTGAATAGTTATTCGGTGTTGCTCTACGATCGATTTCGCTAGCCTCGCTCCTATTACAGCCGCTTGTAATTCTAGTCGAGGAATCGATACAAACCTTAACGGTGCCACACGTGTTTTTGCTGTCACGAAGGCACATTCGATCGTTCCATCTTCTTCGTAGCGGAAGTAGGCAACTGCGGCAAATCCGCTCTCACTGGCGTCTACAAATATATGCAGTTGTACCATATTGGACTCCTTTGAGGACGAGGTTTGAACCCGATAGCACCTGGGAATGGATACCATTTCAACCTTTCTCAAAACTGCGAGCCACGTATGCCATTTTACAAATTGCTCATCGGCTATCGGTTCGTCCCATCCTGTTCCATTGCACCATACCTCCTGCAAAAGAACTTTTAGGTACATCAGTACGTTTGCCAGTATTCCCAAAGGATCGAAAATCGTCATCAGGACTCGCAACACCTCACGCTTCGTTGGAACTCGCTGACCGGAAAATAGCTCTTGGTTCAACCTGGCGGGCAACTTGAAAGTAAAAGTATCTGTTATTGTGTTCCACCACATTCCAAGAATCTTCTCAGGGGCTAATTGAGCGACTACGTTCAGATCTTTCTCCGACGTCGACGGGCACCTCATCGCAGCAAGTACAGCTTTAGAATTGGAGAGCCATCCTCGTATTTCAAAACCCGCTTGGGCATGTATATGGCGCACATTCGTTGCCAGACTGACGGCTTCATCCTCACTCTCGACGCTAGACAGCATATCGTCCACGTAATGATCGTTTATGATGGCGTTCACGGCTTCCGGCATTTCATGAGAAAATCGTTCAGCGTTGTGATTTTTGACATATTGGGCAACACTTGGCGAGCACGTTGCCCCAAAAGTCATAACGTTCATCACGTACACAGACGGATTCAAATCTCGAGGGTCATCTGCCCAGAAGAACCGCAAGCAATGTTTATCCTCTTCGTTTGAAAGAACCTGGTGAAACATTTCACGTATGTCTCCTGATACAGCAATTCGAAATTCTCTAAAACGTTGCAGAACGGCAGGAAGAGGTTTCAATTGATCTGGGCCTTTGAGAAGAAATGTGTTCAGCGACACTCCACGCGTTTTGGCAGCGGCGTCCCATACTATCCTAAGCTTGTTCGGTTTGTTGGGATTCGTTACTGGGAAAATGGGCAAATACCAAACACGACTCCTCGGTGCCTGCTCTTCTGCTATGGTCAATTTCTGAATATACCCCTTCTGTTCGTAGTCGCAAATCTTTGCTCGAAGTGCAGCAGCCATCTCTGGTTCACGTTCCATTCGCTTTTCCAAACAACGGAAACGCTTCAAAGCCATTGGTTTGCTGTCTGGTAGCTGAACATCATCAAACTTCCATAACAAAGCAGACTCGTATCGCAAACCTTTCCGGAATGTTCCAGACTTGAGCAGCTCCAGTGCTCGCTCGTCATCTCTGGACATCAATACTTTGGTGTTGATCTGTATCCCAAGGCTATCCAGTGAAAAATACTCC